CACTACATGCATGCTACACTTTTCCCGAGCCTATACCTCTGACCATTACCCTGTTGGTACTGTCGACTTCAGTCAACCTTGGCGAAAGCTGGCCTGATCTATGCACTCAGTCGATTTTCTGGTTAGGAATATATCTGGTATACGAATGGTTTCGCACTGGTCGTTTCTGGCTCCTTCGCTCAATCTGGTTCCGTCCTACGTCTGCAGCTTTATCTGGTCCAAACGCCTACGAACGCAACCTTCAGACTCTGGATACGAGCCACGCTGGTGTGGCATGCCAATCCGATGGACAAACTTTGCACATCAACTCGAGTAGCATACCTGGCACGTTATTACTGGTACAGTTCAACGTAGAAGACTATCAGTGACAACTCGAGCTTGATTGGTCGCTTCCTGTTCGTCAACCCTTCCATACTACAATCAAATGTTGGCCGACCAGTCCCCCCCCCGAACGCAGCCGCTGTGTATCGAAAGTGTTAACCCTTTCTAGGCGAGAGCTGCTGTAGTGGAACACCTCTACGAAGAAAATACGATTCGTGAAAAAGTAAACATTATTGTACTCGTTTTTTTTAACTGTACCAAAACACTTCTTCCACTTCGTGCGCGCAACGTTCTCTTCGCGTTGCTGTCATCTTTCTCTATTTGCTGTTCCCGATGTAATGCCTAATGTCTCCTTCAATAAAACCTTGGAACATGGATTTGTTTTTATATTCGTGACGCGACCGTATAGAACATTTAGTGGTGAGCATAGTCAATCTGGTATCTTGACTCGCTCACCACAGTAGGTGAGACCGACGTTTCTTCAAAAGAAGTCAATTACGGTGAGTCTATTATCCATCTATCACCATTTTTATAATGTTGCAATACTATTAATAATGTCTTTAATATATATTATACTTGCAACAACGTTTCGAAATGGTAGATAGCTATAATAATAAACTCCGAGGTGCAGGTCATTGCATTTGCACCTGTCTCCTCACTGTCACTTCAGGTTTTTAGTTTATTTTACGTGCTCGACTTTCGCACTAACGCTAGGTACTTGGTGGCCACAAGTGCCCAAGTTTCTGTCGTATCGTTTTGTAGCAGTAAGTCACAAGCTACGATGCTTCGACCACCCGACACGAATGGCTCTGTCATTCCTACCTACGGTATACGACAGCTAACTATCAACCTGACTAATCGACAACAGTATCTATGGACGTTCATCCCTTCTAATGTTCCCATGGCCATACTCGGTATCGATCCTTTACAGCACTATGAATTGCTAGTCGATTCACGTAGGCTGCGTTATTCGATACTTCCCCAAAGTAACGAAACCGAAGAGATTCAATTGGTGATTAATTATGTGGTAAGCCACATCGTCACCTGCAGACCCCCAGTCACGGCAAAACCTCGCCGACTGGCACTGCACAACTTAGTTTTCGCTAAGCGTGAGTCAGACAGTTTACTTGCTCTATGTATTACTTCGTCCTTCTCACAGTCCTTAAGACTCCTCTCTCCACTCGGTTCTCAGAAAGATGGCATTTGTTGGAGACGACATGGCGATTACGGAGCAGCGACCGCAGATATCCAATGTTCCCGAACTTGTATACGGCACGACATTGCATCTGCCTGGGGAATTTTTTCACACCACGGAGCAGCGATCTTATGTATGTCAGATAACGTCTGACGACTATCTGCGTAGATGCGAATACTGCCTCCGGTGTGAACTCGAATATAACATCGACAGGTCACTCTCCTTCGAGAGTTATTTACCTGTCCACAACTTTTCTTACTAGTAGATTCGGTACTCAACAACCTTATGGAGGATCTTTTCACGTGATCTCTCGTCACGAAAAGACCATCAAGGTTGATGGACACAGTCAGCATTGATCGTCTCATACCAGCACACGTGAATGACATTGCCCTACCTGGTAAATCGAGATTTAATGCTGGACTCGTCAAACTCACTAGCAGGATCTTTATCTTTCCTTCTGAGCACACGGTAGGTAAACCAAAGACCTCATACTCACGTCCCAGTCAGCAGCACGCGTCATCTTCACTATCTACGGATGAGACTCCGGTCTCACTTCCAGATCAGCAGACCACGCCGCATTTGACTGCGGATGAGAATGCAGGCTCACAAGGTACGCACGAGGCTACTGTCTGGCCTTCCGGTCGCCGCGTACGCCTACCTGTACGCTTTCTCGACTAACTACCAATCAACCACGGGTTCGGCATAGGATTTCACCATCACACTACATGCATGCTACACTTTTCCCGAGCCTATACCTCTGACCATTACCCTGTTGGTACTGTCGACTTCAGTCAACCTTGGCGAAAGCTGGCCTGATCTATGCACTCAGTCGATTTTCTGGTTAGGAATATATCTGGTATACGAATGGTTTCGCACTGGTCGTTTCTGGCTCCTTCGCTCAATCTGGTTCCGTCCTACGTCTGCAGCTTTATCTGGTCCAAACGCCTACGAACGCAACCTTCAGACTCTGGATACGAGCCACGCTGGTGTGGCATGCCAATCCGATGGACAAACTTTGCACATCAACTCGAGTAGCATACCTGGCACGTTATTACTGGTACAGTTCAACGTAGAAGACTATCAGTGACAACTCGAGCTTGATTGGTCGCTTCCTGTTCGTCAACCCTTCCATACTACAATCAAATGTTGGCCGACCAGTCCCCCCCCCGAACGCAGCCGCTGTGTATCGAAAGTGTTAACCCTTTCTAGGCGAGAGCTGCTGTAGTGGAACACCTCTACGAAGAAAATACTATTCGTGAAAAGTAAACATTATTGTACTCGTTTTTTTTAACTGTACCAAAACACTTCTTCCACTTCGTGCGCGCAACGTTCTCTTCGCGTTGCTGTCATCTTTCTCTATTTGCTGTTCCCGATGTAATGCCTAATGTCTCCTTCAATAAAACCTTGGAACATGGATTTGTTTCTATATTCGTGACGCAACCGTATGGAACATTTAGTGGTGAGCATAGTCAATCTGATATCTGCATTCTTTTACTACACGTTACTCAGTTCAGCTCATCCAAAATTCACTTCATGATTACCAGTAATTGGTTTGCTGGAGAGACGATTTCGTCGTGACGTAAAACCTTATAAGATCCCTAATGGCACAACTTAGTAACAAACCAATGATTAAAATGCCTCTGAAGACAAAATCAGTATCGTTAATTCGAAAGCCTCCAACTTTAAACAAAAGAACGCTATCTGGAAGTATTGTGAGACTCAAAGAAAGTTTAAACGGCTAGGTTATGAACAATAATTTCAGAGCTTATTTCTTACTTATCGTTTGTTTGCGTTTCAGTTTTCATTCTGTCACAAACCTTTTTTGATACATGACGATATATATAAAGAAAATAATAAACGAAAATTTATTGTTTGTATATGGAGGGATAGTTTTTTAACATAACCATGTGCTTGAAAATCTACTCTTAGTTGCACAGTATTCATTCCAATATATACCAGATTTTCTTGCTCATTTTTAGAGTGAATTTACGAAATATACATACATTATTACTTCTTTGTTACTAGAACTATAAAGCGAAAAACAGAAAACAAACACGAGGAATCGACCTGGAAATCGTACATCGTTATTCTATTAATTACCATCTGGCTCCTCAGAGTACGTGGCCCATCAGGGTGTCAGTTACCTGTGTGTTTGCACCACGGGATTGGGCCGGACTTTTCACGTCGAAATGCTAACAGGTGGGTAGTCTCCTTGGTTCTCCTGAAAACCAGTATAGGCACCTGAACCCACTTACCATGTTTCTTCTGGTTTTAAAACTGAATTACGTAGAATTCTACAGTTGCAGCAGATCCCGGAATTCTCGAGGAACGAAGAAACTTAAATATAATATGGTGAGAGCCGACAGCACTATACACAACATCCAGTGGACATCATTTCCGAGACCTAACGACACCGGTATTAATTTTGAATGCTTCTGTCGAGTCTACCCTACTTATTAGAGTTTTGGTTTGTATGAATAATGACAACCACTTTATCTTAGTTTAATTTGCTTGAAACTCCTTATTACATTTGGAAGATTAAACAGAGCATCACCAGCTATTAATAGGCGGAGGTCTGCCCTCGACTACTGAGTTGACACTCAGTGGACCACCCTGATAATTTCAGTTGCGAATCTACGACTATCTCATGGGATGGACGGCTAACGCACTATCTCCACATATGGCCGAAACCCATTTCCCACTAGACCTGAATGAACATGTCCTGAAATAAATGGCAGGTGTATATATGGTTGTTACTCGCAGTAACCAGTTGAAGAGAGCTGACGATATCGCATACTGCATACATACACTATAGTTCAAATACGATGAACAAGACAAGACACAGGAAGATCCTATGTTTGATATCCTGTGGAGTTAAAATGGTGCATCGCTGAACACCTTCAAGTTCTGTCGATCTAGGATGAATACGGTCTTTCATAAAACATCTAGTGAAATATTTCGAGTAAACAGATTTATGATTTCTAGTGCATCATCAAGGTAACACTAACAGAGAGTACTATTTAGGAGGTATATGTCATTACAGATTCGCTTGAGAGCTCTAGATAGCATAACATTTTCACACATTAACCATACTTTTGTGCTTCATTATTAAACACAGCAATGCTGAAAAACCTACTGCTACTACGAGGTATATCTTCTTTCAAAAACTCCCAGTTTACCATGAATGGAATGATGTCTTTCAACATTCCCAAGTGCTTTTTCATTGCATCACACTCTTTGCATAAGCGTTACTCATAATGACATGCTTCAATATTGAAATATCAAATCTCTAGTTAACGAATGGGGTTGGCATACATTCGACATTAAACATGTTGTAATATGTTCCTTGACGAACTCTGAAATCAAAGGTAAGAGTATATTCTATCAATTAATATTCCTACTCGATTTGGTCGCTCAAAAATTGTCTTTTTGTTTGTCCTAAAATATACTATAAGCAAAGAGAACTCGATATTGCTTAATCTTATTGGCTTTCTTTCGGACGTTTTTTATCAAGAAAACTGTGGGACTAACTACGCTATATTCATAGAGCTCTAGATAGCATAACATATATTCACACATTAACCGTGATTTTGTGTTTCATTATTGAACATAAAACGATGCCGAGAAAAATACTGCATAACAAACCAATTTGGTAACATTGAAGAAATACACGCAAATCTCTTATAGATAAAAAGTCGACAGAACTCCAAAGTGATATCTCATTTTATTTTATAACGTCAATGAAAATAAATTAGACCTAAAAGACCTGACAAACGTCATTTTTTCTTCGCTTGAAGACCAGCACCAGCATTGAATTTAAACAATATGATATCTCCATCTTCAACAATATACTCCCTTCCCTTTTGCTTGTATTTGCCAGCAGCCTAATACATCAGAGTCGAAAACAAATTGATTAGGGACGCAACATCGAGTAACAAAAATTAAATGGTTTGGTGTATAGAGAAGATTAAATTCTGCATAATATTGAAAAAAAGTATCTTAGACATCTGTTTTATTTCAAAAACTGCACCACTAGCCGTATATATATATATATATATATATATATATATATATATATATATATATAACAAAAAATAATAAAATGTATGAGCAGTTGGTGATTGACTACACTTCTTGCAATTCAAGCAGTATGTTTTCAATTGAAGTATTTTCCCACCTACTTCGGTCTGGAAAATCTGGAATACAACGTGAGTCAGAAGAACCTTTCTCTCTCAAATACACCTTAGTTACACACTATCTCCAATCAACTATATTGATAAGCTGGTGTATGTCCTCTAACATTTAATGAGGTCGAAAAGGTTATAGGCAAAGTGAATCCGATCCTGATGGGTTAACCCCTGAGACTTTTAAGGATACTGACCCAGTTTCAGCAGTTAGATTGACTGGAACATTATGGAGAATATGGGAACTGGATATAGTCCCATCTGACTACTCCTAATTGTTAGTCATTTCACAAAATTTCTCTTGTGACAATCATAGGGTAAACAGCTTAACTAATATACTTAGTGTCCAAAGTATTAGCTTCAATAACAGATTGACGCCAAACTAGAGCTCGTGAGATGCAGACTACAGAAAACCAAGCTGCCCTCAGACCTGTACATGGCTGTATAGACCACGTACTCACACTTAACCAGGTCCTAGGACACAGACACGAGTTCGACATCCGATAGAAGTTGCATTCCCTAAACTAAGTAAATGCAGCGTATGACTTTGTTGATCGTAAGGCACTGTAAGTGTCTGTCATTAAAAGGTGTACTAGAGAAGTAGATTAACTTTACACAGGTTCTGTACTCGAACACCACTGGTCGAGTGACAGCTTACGGCTAACTGTCATCACAGTCGATTACTTACAGTGGTGTTTGCCAGGGCTGTCAACTTTCTCCATCCTTGTTTAACTTTTTCACTTACGTGATCTTAGATACGACTCTTTCATTGTCTCACTTTCAGGAGATTCGCTCGTTGACATAGATTGTGCCGATGTCGTAGTGCTGTTTGGTGAAGACGCTGAAAAAGTGAAGTCGTCTGAGTACCTTAAGTAACAAAGCAAGCATGTTCGTGATGTAGTTCTCCCCGTCGAAATGCGAAATGTTACTTCAAGATTGGCTTGCGACAGCACCTGAACTAGTGAAAGAGAGTGAAGCAGTTAAGCGTGTCGACCGCTCTACTTATCTCAAAAAATCTCAGCAGTGCTGATGGCATGGTGTCTTAAAAATCTCAACACGGACAAAGAAAGCTCAACTGACTTTCGTCAACTCGCTTCACTTATGGCGTAGGCGATATATCGGTCTGTTAACCAAAGGACAGGCTTTACTGTGCATCAGTTTTCTCCGTCCCAATTTATGGCCATTAAGAATCTGGGGTTATTCGTAGGCTACTAGTATTCAATGTTAGGTGTCTTCGAAGTATGGGCCGAACATCCTGGAACCACCAAGTAAGCAGGGCTGGTGTTAGGAATAGGACATTGAATAGGGATTGCAAGGATACTACAGAACGATGGAAGATCAAAGGATGAAGTAGTGAAACTTCATCGGCTGAAGTGTTTGGGACACGTTTTACGTATGCTCAACTACCAAATGCCCCGACGAGCGATGTTATCTGATGTCAGGATTAAAGAAAGCTAGTGGTGGCCAAACCACAACATGGAACAAATCCACGAAGTCACTGACAACTGTTGACTATGCGGTCGGTATCCGCAAGACGATAGTAAACGATGGTTAAAGACTTTGACTGACATGGCTCAAACCGGTTAGCGATGACGCCTATGCATCCATTCTTAGTTTTCTAATCTTCTGAATTATTGACCACCTTATTTCTCTTTTTAAAGTGATCCCACTGAGATACACTTCTTCAATCTTTGATCTTCCACACTACCATTGTTACTAGTACTAATTTAATTAATACGGGATTTGAACTGACAATTCCATCTCTCCCTGCTAACATGATATGGCAACTTGAATGGATCTGCTATGCAGCTGACTGACTATATGGAGGTAGTTCCTACAAACAGTTGTTAGGTTATTGGTAGTTACGAAAATATTTTTAACTTCCACACCGAACCTGCTGCTTCAGATTCGATTAGTTTGGTGGCATTATGTAACTTGTTTGCTATACGGACAACTCAATCATAGTAAAACCAATAAATTCTATGAAGAAACATTTATGCACAGTCAGTTACCTTGACCGCAGCTTCAGAACCTTCTGTCTTGAAATCTTCATAGGACATAACTTCAGCCATGATAAAACCTTTTTCCATATCCGTATGTATTCGACCAGCAGCTTGAGGAGCTTTTGAACCCTTCTAGAATAATAGAATAGACAGACAACTAATTCTTTGGATTATTCAACTTATTGTTACAATCAAAGTACACAGACAGAGATTAGGGACACAGAAGTAAATATGTTTTTGGTCTAGTAAAATGCAGATAAATAGATAGCCTATTTAATTTAGTTTGTAAAGCTCTTTGAGTTATTCCATTGTTGATACCCTTGATAGAATTTTTATTAGCAGATACATCCAAATAGGTTGGTTTAAGGTTACACTTCAAAAATATGAGGGCTAGTGGTACCAGCTTTCTTATCTAGACTAAAGTAGATGGAACAGAACTGGAACCTGTGATTTAGTTATCGAAATTTGAATGCCATAACCACCACTAAACATTCGTACAGCTAGAAGTGTAACAAATGTCGTATTGCTTACCACTTACGAATGGTAGAGGTTAGTCGACAAAAACGTAAACCGCTTACACTGAAACTTGACCGATATAATTTGACCAACAAAAAGAACAAAACAAACATGATATTGGTTACTGTTATTTAAGAATCAGTTAATGTAAGTATTTCTACACTACTAAAGGTCACTCTTTTATTTCTATGACCGTGATGTTGAGAGAGAAAGCAAGAATTAGTTGCTTGAAAATTATATACATGTCTAGTTTATTAAGATGATAAATAGGTCTATAAAGGAAAGCAGATTGGACAAAACCATAATTTATGGACGAAATAATCAGATTTATGATAGCGAGTCTTCAATTTTGGCGCGAAATCCACTCACAATGCGAGCATGTTCGGGATGCGGTTTTCCCCCTCGAAATGCAAAATGTTGCTTCAAGACTGGGTTGCATTGGCACCTGAACTAGTGACAGGGAGTGAAGTAGTCGAGCGTGTAGATCACTTCACTTATCTGGGGAGTCTCATCAGTGCTGACGGTCTGGTGACTGACGAAATCTCAGCTCGGATACAGAAAGCTCGATCGGCTTTCGCCAACCTGCGTCACTTATGGCGTGGGCGTGATATCCGTTCGCTAACCAAAGGGCGGGTGTACTGCGCAGCAGTTCGTTCCGTTCTCTTATACGGCTGTGAAACATGGCCGTTAAGAGTAGATGTTCGTAGGTTACTAGTATTCGATCATAGATGTTTAAGAAGCATTGCTCGTATATCGTGGGACAGCCGAGTAAGCAATGCTGTCGTTAGGAAACGAGTACTAGGTAAGAATGGCAGATCAATAGATGAAGTGATGAAACTTCATCAGTTGAGGTGGTTGGGACACGTGTTACGTATGCCTAACCACCGATTGCCTCGACGAGCTATGTTTTGTGGTGTAGGAGTAGGTTGGAAGAAAGCTAGGGGCGGCCAAATCAAAACATGGCGGAAATCCATGAAGTCACTGAGAAGTGGACTGAGTCATGTCGGTAGATGTAGACTACCTGGTTGGGGTCCGCGAGACGAAAGTCATCAATGGTTAGAGACCTTGAACGACATGGCTCAAAATCGTTTTCAATGGCGTAGGTGCATCCACTCTTTGAGCTCTCTCAAATCCTAATCTTCTGGATTCATCAGCACCTCTACCTTTGTCTTTCGAACCTTATCTCACTGAATTATATTTTTTGAATAATATCTTCGAACCCTAGTCTTCTTTATTAACATTAATACCTCTACTATCTTTATCACTATGGGATTTGATTTGACATTTGCGTCTCTGTGCTAATAATGTGGTATGGCAACATGAACTTATGTACATACGTACGAAGTTCTACGTTGCAACTGACTGACACCTATGGTTAAACAGACGCTTGAAATGATAGCTGATGTCAGTTGGTGAAGGAAACCCCGACTGTAATTCTTAAGCCTAACTTCCAAAGACAAATCTCAATTTTAATTCCTTACACAAATTTATAACCCACTTTAGATCCTACTTGACTGAGCGAGTTCTTTTAAGATCACTTTGATATCTCATCATGATTACTGCATTGTTGTCTTAATCACATACTAAAAACTATAAAACTGACACTTTTCAGTTCAAATTCTTCTATAACCAACCTGTATAGTCCATGCTTTAACTTCATCTTTACCGCATGTGAAAAAATACTGTAGTTGTAATGTTTGATATCCGACACGAATGATTTTTGGTAACATACTGGTACATTCATTTTCTTTCATATAATCTCTAGCTTCATCTGGTGACATTTCACTGAGTTTTTGTTCAAGATCAGCAGAAAAAGGAATAATTGCTGCACCGGAATCATGTTCATCAACCCATTCTTTGATTTTTGGTAACCTATATGAAAGGAAAACAAAAACTCAGCACAATAAAACGGGATAACATATATAAATTATTAAATTAGGAGTACTTTTATACAAGATTAAAGTTATCAATATTTGTTTTGTGTGAAATGGCGAAGGATTTATTATTATGAGCATAAAGTGGTGACATGTCAGTTTTAAATAGGACAAGAAACACTAAAAATAAAAATATGACATTTTGGTTTGTCGTCTACAGATAATGAACAGTATATGATGCAATCAGTTCAAACTTGGACATCAAGAAACAGAATAAATAAACCGAATGCATTTGCTAGTGACCAACCTTGACTTTTGTGACGAACCAGTAAAATTATTTGACAAGTATAGTAGTTTCGTCCAGTTTTATTATGATTCAGAAATTAGTTGTGTAACTGTGCAATTAAAGAGCATATTTACGACTGTAATAGAGCCCCGAAGGATAACTAAAGACATTAACTTTGACATTACTCTTTCGCAAAGGTAACATTAAAAAAGACCATATTGGAACTTGCCTCAAGGTTTCCAACGACATTTGTTAAAGTTTGAAAAGTGAGCAGATAACAATAAAATTCTCTCATGAAGTTGATACATCTTATTGATATTAGTTTCCCCTTGGCATACATGCTGGTCAGCAGCCTAAGCTTCACTGGAGGTAACAGGTGTAAATAAGCAAGTAAGTCCCCTTGGGGATATTCGTAGCTTATTAGTATTCGATTTTAGATCTCGTCGAAGCATTGCTTGTGTATCCTGGGACCCTAACCAGGTAGTCTACATCTAGCAACGTAACTCAGTCCACTTGTCAGTGGCTTTATAGACTTGTGTCATGTTTTGTTGGTGGTTGGGACATGTGCTGCATTTGCCTAACCACCGACTGCCCCATCGAGCTATGCTTTGTGATGTAGGAATAGGTTGGAAGATAGCTAGGGGCGGCCAAGCTAAAACATGGCAGAAATCCATGAAGTCACTGACAAGTGAATTGAGTCATGTTGGTAAATGTAGACTACCTGGTTGGGCTTCGTGAGATGATAGTAACTGATGGTTGGAGACTCTGGACGACATGGCTCAAAATCGTTTGCAATGGTGCGGGTGCATCCACATTTCTCAAATGCTAATCTTCTGAATTGCTCTTCATCCCTATGTCATTCGAAATTTATTTCACTGAATTATACTTCTTGAATAATTTCTTCAGACCCTAATCTTCTTCATTAGGATTACTTCTAATACCTTTACTACCTCTTCTACTATTGGATTTGAATTGACAATTATATCTCTGTGCTGATGTGGTATGGCGACATGAACTGATGTACTTACGTACGAAGTTCTACGTTGCGACTGACTGACTGACTGACCACTAACACTTCTACTATCTCTACTACTATGGGATTTGAATTGACAACTGCGTCTGTGCTAATGTGGCATGGCAACATGAACTTATGTACGCACGTACAAAGTTCTAAGTTCTAACTGATTAACTGACTGGGCTCCGCTCCTTAAGTGGCCTTACCGTCGCAGACGGAAATCCCTGAAGAAGAGTGGAGCGTGAAAGTTTTAGGATCGACCATTTCTAACCCGTTCCTTCTGTTGTGAGAGGGCATCATCACTGTAGATGCTCGTCATTCCAGTGAAACACCTAACTGCTATCACACCCCTTTACAGCTAGCAGTACGACTTCGCCCTCAGACCTCAAGTCACTGCTTTTAGCCTTACCATTCTCCAGTCGACATGCGTGGCATAGTAGAACCCACAGGAACATATGTTCTCGATCGGTTGAGTCATTACGATGGGCAAGCCCGACCACCACCTCAAGGTAGCAGCTACGGTCGGGCATGAAAATAATGGACAGCAATTGGATAGAACTCAAATGCAATGTTCATGAAGGAGTATGTTGGAGAATGCTGATCGACAGCCAATACTCCATTAGGGGTAACAAGCGTAAGTGTAGGTTAGCGCTAATGATAAACTACAACATTGCTTGAACTTTTCTTACTCTTGATATGGCTCTTCTGTATATATAATGTTATCGTTTAAAGCATAGAGTATTGACTATTGCATACTTTAATAAGACTTAAATCGGAATAGACTGACTGGTTTATTTTTAACTAGCCAGTGCTATTGAACGAACTGAACTGTTCAATTCATATGTGAACTGTATTTATCAGCTTTAATGTTTTTACTATTATATCTTTTACATTGAAATCATGAATCGATCATTGGTAGACCACCAGTGAGAAACCTAGAAACACTGGATGGCCGTTTCATACTAATATGGGACTCTTCAGCGGTGCGCATAGATGCCCCGCGATCTCGAGAATCGAGCCCAAGACCTTCAGTCTCGCACGCGAACGCTTAAACGCTAGACCATTGAGCAAGTTCTCAACAGTGTTAATGTCTAACTTTTATCAATCTAAGGTTTCGTACAACCTGCAGCTTACACTCGACTGGACTGAACTCCACTATTCATGACTTTCCACTAGAACTCCAAAAACTTCTTCACGAAGCCGGTCACTAATGAACAAGCACATGTTATGATTTTTCATCATAAAGTAATGGAGATTGTTGTTTTACATCTACTGTATCTTAGTTGTTTAAGCTATTGTAATATATTTTACACATAAATATATGCTCTTTCTGTTCTAATATCGAAAGTTGACCGAAGGAATTACTAAATACAACAGGTATTAACTTTGTAAAACATGAAAATATTAAATAAGATTGTCAATAGCCGGCAATACCAACCTGGTTACACAAACTGATGTAGACAAAAATAAGGTGAAATACTAATTCGTAACCTAATTTGTGAAGAGTGAACGAAATTTCCATATTTATATTACACATATTACAAATACACAATGTGAAAAAGTGCCGACTAACCATTTACTTTTCTTTTTTAAAAATGCTTTCTCTGACATATTGACCAAATAAATCACTGGTTTCGATGTGATAAATAAATGCTCGTTCAGAATTTCTACCTAAGAGAGGTAGTGAAAAAAGGGAATAGAGGATGATAGAGCAGTCAAAATGTTGATTAATGCTAAAATCATTATAAGAAAATTCACACTTTGTTGAAAATTCTAACCAAATATTATTTGAATGTTGAGCAATATTACGCGCTTTGGTAATGCAAAGCTCCAAGGGAACTTTCTCCATTATGTTTGACAATTACATCTGCGCTATCCCCATTGACAATGTTATGAACGGGTTTTTCTCTAATTAAACGAAATTTTCGACTGTTGGAATCAATGGATAGAATGCTGATCAATAAATGAATGCAATGATTTTGAGATGGTGGGGAAAATTTGTAGCTCAAGTGGATGATTGTGGTGGCGTTTCGATCTCTGAGCTCAGAGAATGCGATGATATAATGTTACTGAGTGAAGACTACTCAGTGGACTTAGCCATGTCGGTAGTTGTCGACTACCTGGTTGGGGTTCGCGAGACGATAGTCACCGATGGTTAGATACCCTGAATGACATGGCTCAAAACCGTCTGCAGTGGCGCCGGTGCATTTATTCTTTGTGTTCTCTCAAATCCTAATCTTCTGGATTCTTCAACACCTCTAGTTTCGACTTTCTACACTTTTCTCACTGAACCATATTTCTTGAATATCTTCTAATCCTAACCTCTCGGATTACTTCTAATACCTTTACTATCTCTTCTACTATTGGATTTGAATTGACAATTATATCTCTGTGCTGATAAGGCGTGGCAACATGAACTGATGTACTCACGTACAAAGTTCTACGTTGCATCTGACTGACTGACTGACTGAAGACTACTCACAAGACAGTATCGTTGATACAGGCCCTCGAATAGTTAGAAATCAATATGACAAGTCCACTACTTGTATATATGCATGAAATTGAAAATTAGGAATAAAATACGACTAAACTTACTTCAGTTGGATTCCAATCACCGAAACGAACATTTCGTTTATCATTTATCAACATATTTTTAACTTTTGTAAGACATTCATAAGCAGGCATTTGTTTTTTATCATTGCCTCTAATAACTACTTTTTCACATTTCTCCCACTCTTTAGTAACATATTCAATATCTTTAAGACGTAGCTCTTCATCAATGATATCCAAATCACGTACAGGATCGATGTCACCTTCAATATGAGTGATATCTTCATTTTCAAACAATCCTTTTTTTTAAGAAAACATTAAGATGTTTTAATTAATAAATTGATCATTGGGTTTACTAAATAAAAATGAAAGTAATATTTCAAGTTTTTTGTCTTTTGGATAAGTTACATTTAACCGATAATGAGAAGTGGAAAACAGACAGTGACTGAAGACTCATACTAGACTGGTTGAAACTATCGTTAGTTGACAATTAAAACTTATGACTCAACTCTACATCTATAAAAACAGGATGGATACGTTTCTTTCCTCGGAACCATAAACATGTACATACACTACATTTATATTTTTCAACTAATATATTACTAGTACATTTTTGTTTTTGGAATGCGTGGTGATTCGAAACTTTGAATTTAAGTATAACTTTACGTTGTTTTATTTCGGATTTTTCTCTGCTTGGTCAGTGACACTGACAGAGAACAAAACTTAGCACAATAAGAATCCGAGAATTTTCCAAAAACTTGAGACTGGTTTATAAAGTTGAAGCATAAGCATTTAGATTAAACTGAGCAAACGGTTACAGGTATTTAGTCAAAAGAATTTTTGAAATACTGTTCATATGATATAACTCAATAGCGAAATTAGGCTTTACTTCAAAAAGTCAGTAAAACGATCCTGAGTACCATAACGGAAACTCAGAAACAAGTTGTAACTTTATGGAGAAGGCTGTTATCTAATGAAACAGGATCATTAAGATAATTATTATTGGTGTTTAAGCTTAATCAAAAGTACAACGTGAATGAGTTCACTATAACATAAATACATATATCGTATATCTTCTATAAATTTTCAAATTTCATAATTGAAAACTATCCTTTACAAACAACTGAAGTTACGGAGTATTTGCAAACGTTCACAAGTCAAAACAAAATAAATTTAAAATACAACACTTTGAACCATGTATAATTTTTGTACCCTGATTTTTATTTCTCAGTGCGACCACTAACCTAGTCAGGAAAGACTATATTGTTGGATGTCACTTTGGAACAAACATCTTAATGTTAATCTCATCATTCAATGGACCTATTTACGATTTATACATATTTCTATGCAACGTATTCTCGAAATTCCGATATTTCGCTTAACATGAACAGAATGAAGTACACTGGTTAAAACCCGTAAGATTCTTTGAAAATTCATATTTCGCTAATTAAAATCAGCACTGAACGATTATAACCAGGTGGTCATATACTACGTACTCTAAGCTAGAATAAGAAATACCACTATGCAATAGTAGTGGAATTCAATGTTTGAATAAACTTCTACATAGCATAACTAGCAGAAATCATTAAAAACAACGGCTACATTTCTTGTAATTCGAAGTTAGACCAGCTAATCATTAGTCCAAACCATCAACAATGATTTTGCATATTTTTCGTGACATGAGGATAAAATTTCACGTAAAAAATTGAAACCTGGTAAAGATAGTGAAGTTCACTTTCATGCACCCTATTCTACAATCTGACAAAATACGCAAAGCAAGAAAAGTTTGACATTACATTAATATTTTTCTCTATATGAATCAATATTTTAATTATTTGTAATTTAAATTTACTCACTTAACATGTGAAAAATTGCATCAACACCACGAATATGTGAAAGGAATGCATTTCCCAAACCTTGACCTTCATGTGCACCCTTGACTAGACCAGCGATATCAACAACATTCAAGTATGCTGGTACTCGACTAAATAATGTAAAAATAAACATTGGAAGTTGGATGTTTAAAACTTGCAAAACTAAAAGGTGTCGACATGACAAATATTCACTTATATATTCGCAAATTAATAGTTTCACAAATTATTCTAATCACATGATTTAATTTAACTTTATTAATTTGTTACAATAACTGTATCTTAATAAAGAAAGTAAACAGGCTGATGAGACTGAATCAATAATGACTGATGTGTCAAATGACGCGTATAGATACCCAATCAGACACAATTCTGGCTGTCATAGAGGTGTCCGAAGGAAGCTAAGGACAATTTGAATTGGAGGTGACACTAGTTTACAGAATTTTCAAGTGCTGATGATCAGCCACCAGTCAGCAACAACGTCGAACTTTGTGTATACGTACATCAGTCCAAGTTGCCATACCACATACCTCTCGAATCATATCTTCGCTCCCTAATCTTCTCCATTACTTCTAACACTTCTACTATCGCTACCACTACTAGATTTGAACTGACAGTTGCGTCTCTGTGCTGATGTGGTATGGCAACCTGAACTGACGTACATACGTACGGAGTTCTGCGTTGTTCTGTCTGTCTCTGTACCCTGCGCCTAAACCTCAACGTCTCACATGATACTTTGCCATACAGGCAAACGAACTGCTAACGAGTATACTCCCATTTTCTTCGTCAGACAGACATTTCATCTTTCATCATCAGTTGCCATACCACACTAACACAGACGCAATTGTCAATTCAAATCCCATAGTGGTAGAGATGCAGAAATATGAACAGTAATAGAAGAGATTAGAGTTTGAAGATGTTATTCAAGGAGTATAGTCTATTGAAATAAGAGTGAGAAGATAAAGATGAAGGTCATGAATAATTCAGATTAGAATTTGAGAAAACACAAAGAACGGATACACCTGCGCCATTGCAAACGACTTTAAGCCGTGTCATTCAGGGTCTCTAACCATCGGTGACTTTTGTCTTGCGAAGACCAACCAAGTAGTCTACATGTACTAACATGGCTCAGTCCACTTGTCAGTGACTTCATGGATTTGTGCCAAGTTCTAGCCTGGCCGCCCCTAACGTACTTCAGCACCACAAAACAGCCCGTCCGGGAATTCGGTGGTTGTGCATACGTAACACGTGGCAAAACCTTCTCGTATGAAGATTCACTACTTCATCGAACGATTTGCCAACCTTACTTTGCTTCTTTTCCTAACAATTGCATTGTTTACCCGCTTGTTCCAGGATATACGAGCGATGATTCGAAGACACCTGCGAAATCAGCTAGTAAGTCCTAATAAACCTGAGCAAATCATGCCCTGATATAAGCACAGAAAGTAAATAACTCGAAAGGAAATTTTTAGGAGTTGAGAGTGGAACGAAAAATCCACGGAAACCAAATAGCAAACCACCCCTCGCACTCAATAAGAAGTTTACATTTGCTATAGGAAACGAGCAGTAACTGGTTATATGCAATCTTGAGCACTTGTTGAATGCATATTACTGTGGTTCATCGAGCCAATCGTAAAAAAAACAAAACCCACCTGACAGGTTGATGATATTCGCACAGCCAATCAAATCTTTCATCTGGTACTGCGACACGACCTTAAATGTCTTGTTTGACTTGTTAATGTTATTAAACCTACTTTCGTTAGGATTAATAGTGCAGAACGGAAAATTTTCAGCTGGGACTGCACTTTTAGTAAGAATGTTGAAAAATGTAGATTTCCTAGATTGTACTGAAAGTAGTCATAGAACGACTAACCCTACATTTGGTAGGCCTACTACACCGCACTTCAGATTAGTACCGATTCTTCCAAGCAAAACAGCCTTCTTTGGCACATCACCTTTCTTCTTGGACATAGGTCTGGATATTGAGTGGGTGCCAAACCTTCAAGGCCGGCAGCAGCTAAGTTCAAACTAGCCGCTAACCGTGCAAGAATAGCGGTCAGATACTTTCTAAAATGTCCAATTGATAGGCATATTTACCAAGTAAAAGGGAAATGTCAGTAGATTATAATGAAACATAGCCCTTAATCCATAAACATATGTGGAGTTTTTTATGAAGGTGGTCAGTTGCAGAACTCGAAAGTGTATCTACAGTCCATTCTGCTGTGTTTTGCCTCCGGTATTTCCTAGGAAATTAATGTTGAAACTGAGCATAAGTATGTATTTTATGGGATGATAAAGAGTGTGTAAGATACTACAAGTCATTATAAGTTTACTTCTGAGACGCATATACTCCATTGAAATGCTCTACATTTGTTTTGAATTTGAGTCCTCATTACTCGCCATTGGATGCGTTCGAGAGTATTTTTATTGCAGGATATTCTTATAAATTAGGCTAAAAAAAATATATAAAATAGTAGGTGAAATATTCTATTGGCCAAAAATGCACCTCAACATTACCAGTGAAAAGCCTTTTTCCAAGGCGTAAGATATTAATTTATGAAGTACCAAAACTTCTAAATTTTTTACTACTTGCGACGCTGCTTGACAGAAGTCACCTAAGTTGTACGTGTACTCTGCAATATGCCTCAGATTGACTACCTTATATTTTGAAATGTCAAATTCATGTCCGATGTTCTGCAACTCTGCCAGATATTTAGATATGAACTAAACAAGTTTGTTAGTGGTAACTTGATATCTAACAGTTTTAGCTCATAGGTGAGGCATATATGATTGACTTCATCATATTTAATACCGTGTAGAATGTCTGAGAGTTTGGAGTAAATAATTTCAGTGAGCGTCCACATCGTGTTGATGGCAGGTTCCTTGTTTTACCAACTGTATACTGTCCAACTGCTTAAAATTCAGTGCTAGTTGTTAGCGTAATGAGACGGAGGATTACGACGGCGAAATTAAATTTTCTCAGAGTAAGAGAAACATAGTTGTCCTTCGAGAGTTCATTTTTCTCGACGATGTGGTTCAAGTGTGATAGCACCAAATCGTTCTCGCACCAACTTCCAAACTCTCAGTTTCGCAATGTTCTTAGTTCTTCAATGGGGTTGAAGAAATGAATTTCAATCGATTTCCAATATCTAATATATTCACGAGCTAGTATAAACCAATTGGTTACTTTGAGTTTTTTTTATCTCGGTACGTTTCTAGGGGTTTGGTAGTCGCCAATGGGTGGAGGTCTAGTCACTCAACTGCACTATTTCTAGTCAGTTTGAAGCTGTTTGTCAGTGATCTGAGGAGATACGTTATTAAAAACTATCAGGTCAGAAGAAATGCATCAGGCACAGCTGATCCAAATGGGGGATGATAATCCGTATATGAGTAAGTGTCTACCAAGTCTCTTCTTAAAGCCGTTTACTGAGGGGGCTGTGGGCATCTCGGGCATTCAAGGTTTCAATGACTCTGAATGAGAAAACGTGTGCAAAAACCTGGGTGTTTGCTCTGTGATGCGCAATTTTTCGAGGGCGTGGCAGTGGTGCTTCGGTAAGATACTCATGTCAGGATAGTTTGGAATGCTTAACATGTTGTAAGCCATAGTCAAGTCACTTCTGATTACCCTGTCTCTCATTGAGAATAATGTGACGTCCTTGTTTTGCTCCTTCCGTTATTGAAGTACAGTATGTCGATCTATTTGCAATTCACGAACCCAAATAAACAAAACAGAACCAAACTCCAAAGTTAGGTATCAAAGTTTATTCGCAATTCACAAATAGTCGACCAAAATGTCATTCTAACAACAATAATTATAATAACTACAAGAACCTTCAATTTTATAGGTTCCTAGAGCAAAAACTTCCAATTAGCAAACCAAGACAAACAGAAACCAAAATGTCCGAAAATAATAAATCAGGGTGGAAGAGCATGAAAAATCCCGAAATGCTAGGCAAGTCGTTTATGATTCTTCTTGTTTAATGGGTTCACTTTCAAACAGTAGTGATGTTATGTTTGATACTTATTATTGTAAGTCACCCTTAGAAGGCATTAAGGAACAAAATTTGGGCGAGAATTCTAAGGTACCAGAGAAGGATCAGATGCTTAGGACACCGATAGTAGGCTTAGAATTACCTAAGGTTGAACTTCTATTCTTTGACGGCAAACACCGAGACTACTTTAGGTTCGTTAAGCAGTTTGAGTCGTTTATAGAACCCAGAGTAAAGGATGATAATTTGCGTTTATTATACTTAATTCATTACTGTAAAGGAAAAGCAAGAAACGCGATTGAAGGTTGCCTTATAATGGAACCACAAGTGGGATATAAGAGAGCTAAGGCGATTTTTAAAGCAGCTCTTTGGACAATCGCATGTGATAGCCCGTGAAACTTTAGAAGACTTGTTTAGAACTGGGAATGCGGACTACAATGACCTAGAAAAATTGAAGGAATTAGCAATTAAAATGCAAAACGTTGCTATTACTATGGAACAGTTAAATTGTATAGCGGAACCAAATTCTCCAGTAACTTTAGAACGAATAGTTAGGCTCTTACCTCATCGAATGCAAGCCCAGTGGGCAGAGCTGGGAATCAAGTGGGACGAAGAGGAAAGAGAACCTACTTTCAATGAATTGACGGATTTTATTATGTCTCGTGCTAAGATAGCTAGTAGTAGGTTCGGAAGATTAGCTAATCGTGCTAAAACAGGACATGGTACGGAAGCTATTAGTGATCTGCGTGCGAGACATGAGGATTCTTCGTTTACACCTAACTCACACCCGGAATTTAAGAGAGTTGTTAATTGTATCAGAAAAGTATACTTCGTTGAAAACCGAGTATGTGACCAGGATGATTTAAAACCCCCTGATGCGTATCCTAGTAAGAAGCCGGTCTGTGTAACAGATAAGATGGCTTTTTTAAGTATGGAAAAGAAAGAAAAAGGCGTAAAGGGTAGGCATCAGGATGGATCCGAGGTGTGAGATGGTAAAAGCCTCTTAACTGCTCGAAAAGCAAGGAACGGTTATTTGGATTCGAGCAAACATAGGTTAGTGAGTTCAATTTATATGAATAAGGACAAAACAGGATTGGCTGGATGGAATAAAGCTTATGTTCGGAACCCTTCACGTAGGGTAAATTATTTGACTCGACCTAGAGTTGATTCTAGGACAACAAGTGTGAATAGTGACACGGCACTTCATGTTGCTGAGCAATCAGGATGTCTGCGGGCTACAATATCTAGTTCTATAGAGCATCATGATATTAAAGCGGAAGATATTAGCAGCTTAGCGCGTCCTGCTGATGTTTGTTTACGGTCAACGGATGGACAGTTGTATACTGGTCCAAGTAGTCATAGCAACATTGATAGTGTTAGTGAAAGTGGTAGCATAGCTTTAAAGCCGGCATGCCAACTATCTCGCAACTTGTCATTAACTGTGAAGAGTCGGAACATCATTGTGGACAACAATAACGTCAAGGTGGAAGTGAAAACTGATGTATCTATTAATAGCGTAGTTGATGTGAATAATAATCGTGATGGTAACGATAGTGGAATCACTGTAGGTATTGCTGTTTCTTCGGTTGATGTTGCTAATACAGCTTCCTTGTGTACTTCGAATCAAGACGAAATTGGATGTTTGAGCGTTGAGAATGTAGGCGTGCGTGGCAATAGCTTTAGCCACAGTGATGGCAGTACTGTGAGTTCTAACCTAGGTGCAATGAGGAGTCATCTAGGTTTAATGGACATGCTGTTGTGTTGAATATGCAGCATGAGGAATCGAGCACGGAATTGTCCACCTGTCGCACTCCATCATCATTGACTTGTACTACAAGCTTCGGATGAGCACTACCAACAGTGATAAGATAGAAGAGACTAAGAGCATTCCTAGTAAGGAAAGCAATGTTGATCGAGTAGAGTTAGCCACTGTGCATGAGTCGACTGGATGTCATGAGAAGTGTACTACTGCTTGCACGGCTGCGGCTACTAACGATAATAGCATTGATGATACTCCTGCGAGTAATAGTGATCGATGGAAGTTGAAAGACACTCATCGTCGTCAAAATGATCGTACGTTACGCTCACATGCTGCTACCCAAGCTAAGAAGCATAAGAAACGACATGATGCTACTACTATTAAGAAGCGTAAACTTCGTTCTCTTTCGGATGCTATGACTAGCAATGGAAATAGTAGTCATCAGAATCTTAGTAGTGACAGTGATAGTAAGGAGACAGAAAGTGTGAGCAGTCCACCTATAGTGACTAGTCGATCAACTTCATCGAACGAGCCTTCTAGTGTTTCGACGTCATCGGACCTTGTCGCGAACGCTAAGTTGATTGAGGATACACAAGGTTGTGTAACTGTAAGTGTCCCTACTTCGGTTGACTGTCAGTCAAGTGATGATGAGAAGGAAGCGTCTGATGGCAACAACCATTCTACAGTGTTGCATGATAATGATGCTATTGATGAGCATATGTTTTGTGTCTCTGAAACGGAACATGAAGAACAACAAGTGAGTTTATCGGTTTCGAATTGTGACACTTATGCTGTTCTTTCATGTAGAGAGATGAGTTATACAACAATGGAAGAGTTTCACTCTACGGATGCTAGTGCAGCCAGAAACGACGCGACTTGTCTGACACAACGAAATCAAAATGACGATGATAATGATCTGGATGTCACTGATGTGACAAATGAGTTGGCGACGATGATGAATGCTGATCAAACCTCCTCTGTATCAGGAGATGGAGAATTAAATATTATTAATACGCTATGCCATTTGGAGTCATCGGGAGACGAGGAAATATCAAAATTGGAGATCCCACCCTTGCATATTATTTATGGGTCAAGAACTTCTGTTGATAAATCAGCATCACGGACTTCATCGTATCTGCTGTTCGGAGCAAGTGGTGGTGGATTGACGACTCATCCCCATGATGTGGAATGTAAGTCCCGAATAGGATATGACCAGCTTTACGACGTGTTGTACATGTTTATATGGGTTAATTGGATAAGGTTTATACTACTGTTAGGTCATGCTACGATAGGTAGGGGAATC